CCATTGTGGTGCTTCTCATCCGAATGCTCAGATTCGATATGGAAAGGTTTAAACCGACTAAAGTGTACTAGCATGTGCGGCTCAACAGCGTTCTTTTGGTCCATAATCACACAAGTCAGTTCAGATATTATTCTGTCTACCACGTAGGGGCCAGCCCACTCGCGACGCAGCTTCGCTGACCTTCCGGATACCGGTGCCTGAATCAAATATACGAGGTCGCCTGCTTTCAACGGGACACCGAAGACCTTCTTGTCGTAGTATGCCTTCTGTCGCCGTTGAGCCTTCGCTAAATGGATGCGTGCTGCTTCGTTTGTGCGTCGAACGGTCAAGGAGTTTACTGACGTATTCAACGACCGACGGGCACCCCTGTTGTGATCTCGGTAATCGGACATCCGAGGGCAACCGAACTTCTCTACTCGTCCACATAAACGACGGCGTTTGTCCGGTAGAAGAGTGGACCGTACTGCGATAGGCCAATAAGCATTTAGGCAACAACGTGTCCCACTCGTAAATGTTCTGGTCCACGAACGCCTTCAAGAAAGACTTCAACGACCGGTTCGTACGTTCAACCTGTCCGTTCCCTTGTGGATCGTAGGCCGTTGTTCGCGTTTAATCAATGCCGAGTGCTCTGCACATCTAATGGACCAATGAGCTTTCGAAACATGATCCCCTATCAGAATGCAGTTGCCCAGGCGCTCCCCATTGGCAAACCCAGTGGTTAATCATCGCTGTTGCCACAGTGAGAGTATCAGTCTGCGCGATTGGCACGGCTTCGCACCATTTGGTGAAGTAGTCAACCATGACTAAGATGTAGCGATTCCCTCTCGGCCTTTCCGGTAGTGGACCAACGAGGTCTACTCCAACTATTTCGTTCGGGTAACCTGTTGTCATGGATTGTAAAGGTGCCCTATGAGCAATAGGCGGAATTTTGAACGTCGCGCATCTTCCGCAAGTTTGGCAGAAGTTGACAATGTCTCTTCGTTGATGCGGCCACCAAAATCGTCGACGCGCCGCCGATTCGAGTTTATTGATTCCAGCGTGTCCCAGTTGTTGTTGCCGTTCCGACAGCACTTCCGTAACTAACGCCTGCGGAAATACGATCCTCCACAGGTACGTGGGGCCGAAAGCCAAGACCAACGCACCCTCTTCGATGGCGAGTTTATCCCACATCGCCCACAAGCACCGGGCCTCGTAGCTTTTCCCTTCCATTTCTTTCGGAGCTGGTTTGTCCCTTCCCGAGCGCCGCTCGTGGTAGATAAGCGATATGACTGGGTGCGAAGTCTGTGCCTCTTGCCAACGGCCATACTCGGCTTTTTGTAGGTTGACTGGCGCTACGTGTTGTATAATGCAGGAAAGACAGTTTCCGTGATCTCGAGACGGAATCCTCGATAGCGCGTCCGCGTTGCCATGTAGTTTCCCAGGCCGATGATGACATCCGAACTCATACTACTGTAGCTGCTCCTGCCGTCGAGCAATCTGCCGCTCAGGGTCCCTGAAGTTTTGCAACCACCTGAGTGATTGGTGCTCAGTCCGTGCTAAGAATTTTCTTCCTAATTTTATGAATTTTATGTTTTATGAAAAACACCAACGCCAACATTTCTTTCCTTGTCGAACAGTAATTTCTTTCTCTTGACGTAATGCTCCTACTACTGTATGAAACCACTCTCTCTATGCCATCCCGCCCTTTTTGTGACAAAATCGCCCCAATGGCCTTATCGCTGGCATCCGTGTCCAAAATGAACTCCCCAGCGTGTGGCGACAAGTCGGGGCAGATTAACATCGGAGCGATACACAGAAACTCACGCAATCGATCGAAGCTCGTTTGACATTCGACAGTCCAATCGAAATTGCGATTACTCTGCAACAACGCGTTTAAAGGGGCTGCGACTTCCGAAAACCCTTTTATGTATCGACGGTAGTATGGTGCCAGTCCTAAGGAACTGCTTAACTCCTCGGCATTAGTGGGAATTGGCCACGCCTTTATCTGATTTGTCTTGCACGGAGCTGTCCGGATGCCTGCTCTAGAGATGATGTGTCCAAGCTAGGTAACTTCTTGTTGTAATAAGCGACATATTTTGGTTGGGGTTTCAAACCTACCTTGATTAGACATGTTAACACTTCAGCTAGATTGCTTAGATGTTCCTCCTTCGTTATCCCATGTACTATGACTTCGTTCAGATAGACGAGACATTTGTGAGGAATTAAATCATGAAGCACTTTCTGCATAAGAAGTTGAAATGTTGCATGAGCGGCTGATAGGCCGAATGGCATTGTTTGAAACTCATAAAGGCCAGAAGGGACTACAAATGCTGTCTTCGCTCGATCACGGTATTCAACCTCCACTTGCCAATAACCAGACACCAAATCTAACGTGCTAGAATAAGCCGACCCTCCGAGCGCGTCGGAAAGGTAATTAGTTCGTGGCGGTTGGTATGCATCTTTCCGTGTAACTTCGTTTAGCCGTCTATAATCAACACACATCCTAAAACCACCGTCTTTCTTTTTTACCAAGGCGACTGGGGATGCCCACGGAGAAGTAGAGGGTCGTATAACTTCCTTTTTCAACACGGCGCCTCTGAGCTTTTGCAGCTCGCCTTGGCAGTGCATGGGGATCCGTCTTGGGTGATTCTTAAACGTAGTCGTGTTCCCCGTGTCGATTAGGTGTTTCACGACCCTGGTGTGGCCCAGGTCTCCTGTCTGCCAGGCGAAGGCATCAGAGTGGGTTAGCAACAATCCTTTGCGCTTTCCTAACATCCGCTAGTCCGTTGGCAAATCAAGTGAGCGGATAAAAATGTCCACCCGGTCTTTTTCGTCAGAGGAGCTCCCACAAATCGTAATGGTTTCAAGACTGTCGGCCTGGCCTTTTCTGAGCAATACAACGCAATTTTCAGTGATCAACTGGCATTTGTCTAGATCTAGGTGACATGTCAGACGCTTCAATAAATCCATTCCAATGATTACCGAAATGGGATGTTATCAGCGACAATAAGCTCGTGGCGGAACTTCTCAGTAGCAATCTGTACCTGAGTAGTGATAGATTCCCGAACAGACAGCGGTTCCCCATTAGCAGCGGTCAGACGATAGCTGCATGGTGTCCACACACAATCTGACAGATATTTGGTCATATTAGCTCGGACTAGGCTTCCACATGCCCCTGTGTCAGTTAGACGTACCAGTGGCACTCCCGTTATGATTAGCTACACCGTTAATGCGAATGCAGGCTTTGTACATGTGACAGCGGGGACGAAAACGGACTTCACACGGTCACACTCACCTTGAAAATTTCGGCTGCCACGGTTTGGCGGGGAATTGCTTCTTCTTGGTGGGGGAGGACGGCGCTTTCGAAAGTTCCATTGCACTGGACGTCGCGAGTAATCACCCCGATACGGAAAGCGATTCCAATTTCTTCGGTCTGGTGGCTGGAATCTTGCGGGACTGTATCGCTTCAGCGCGCAGCATGGTTCCATGGGGTCCATGGACGCGTCGATTTGTTCTAGTTGATCTGCCACTTTTAGGGCTGCCTGAAGACACGTAGGGCGTCGTAAACGGAACTCCCTTTTTACCGGGGGAGATTGGATGCCCTCGAGCAACTGCTCTAACACGCGCTCCTCCCGTTGTTCTTGCGTTTCAGCTGTGGAGGCAGTTACGGCCATCCGCCGCAGTTCGCGAACGAATGTTTCCAAGTTTCCCCCGGTCTTTAAGAAAACTTTGCGCAGATCGTAGGGCAGGCAAGGCTGATCTAAGATACGGAAAAGGGCAGCGAAGGTTTCTGTGGTGATTTCTCCATCTATCACTTTACTTTCCATAACTTTGTCAAATGCCTCGCCTGATAGCAGGCCAATGATAACAGTACCACGTTGTTGAGCTGGAAAGTGATGGACGTACATTTGCACTTGTTTCTCCCATCAGAGATATGGCATGCCTGGAAAAACGTTTTGGGGGGGGGGTAACGGGGGTGTGGAAGGGGCGGGTGTCAGGTTTGTTGTCATCTTCCGCATGGCGTCCGACAAGGCTTCCAAAGCAGAAGCAATCCTTACACCTGGATCGGAGGTCAGCGGCTGAATTTCATCACCAGACGGTTTACCTGGTTTTGCCACTATCTCTTGAGCCTGGCAGGGTCGCCAATTATGGCATACAGGCAAGGGAGAAGTCCAGAGATTGAGACGGAACGTTTATTACGCAACACGTAGGTTATATAAGAAAGAATCAGTAACATAAGAAGGGGTGAAAGGAAAGTTGCAGTCAACTGTTCGCTTCATGCTTTTGTCCTTCTTCAACAATTGCGCAGGAGTGTCTTTCTGAAAGGCAGACAGAAGAGGTGCCGTCAGAGCAACGATTTAACTTCAACCACGCGCCAAACTAGTTTCCATCACTCTTTACAAAAGCACCACGCTTAGTTAACCTGTGTATTATTGGATTATCAAAACGATCACTGTTCTAAACTACTTCGAACCATATGTTTTAACGATAACCTATGTTTAATTAGCATCGAGTACTACGAGGTGGCTAAGCAACAAAAATGTTCCGCCATGCACGGCAAACCTTCCCTGCATGGCTTGATAATAAATGCTCCTAAAGCAAAATAGATATTACACAATGAAATTGCAAAACTGACATCAAATACGGTGTGTCTCCCATGCCATTGCATTTGATAAGTGGACGAGTTTATCCTGTTGTGACAAAATCGAAAGCTAAACTTAAGCGTCTGTATCCTGCTGATCATTCAGTATGAGAAGAAATTCCAACTGATAGTTGTCCTTTCCTTATCGTGTTTTATTTGTTTGAAACAGCTACGTTACTATTGAGAGTTCGTCGGTGGTAATGCAAGCACCTTAGGAGTGCACGCGGGTTAGATGTCCTTGAGTTGAGGTTTCATCCCAGAGTTCTGGGCTACTGCTATGGGTTGTCAAGTGTCTTTACGGAGACCAAGAGTAGCACATGAAGCAATGAAGCAAGATAATGCGACCGCAAATGATAAGAAATATATAGTCTTCGATGTTATGCTTAATGAATGTGCTCATGGAAATGGAGCAGAAAATAGTAATCCAGGTCCAAGAGGCAGTACACGGAAACCAACAGTAGGCAATTGTTTACTAAGTACCAGCTCAAACTTCAGCGGTTAGCTCCCATAGCGAATCCACCTAAACTGACAAATGAGATGATAGAGGAAAAACTGCGGAAAGCGGAAGAAAAACGAGAAAAAGTAACATACCTGTTTATTAACTTTTCATATAAATAGTTTTGTTATTGGTAAATCAGTTATCTGAATTTTGAAGCGGGTAATTTTAGATGCATCCTGCAAAATCTAGCTCTAAGGCTACATCTTTTGTTAGTGAAGTATAACTGATGAAGGAGTTAGGTTGCTAAGATCGGTTGCTCCTCGTTTTCTTGTCTGCCAACGCCGTTAAACAAATGATCTCTTAAAGAAAGAGTAATATTCGGAAGATCGGAAAGAGTAAATAACGATGTTGTGTTTCACCTAGGTGCTTGGTGCAAGTGTTTCAAACTACTGCAAATCATTTTGGACTATGGGTATTTCCATATCCAATGTGCGAAAGTAATCGTAGTAGGTCTGAAAATGTACTGGAAAACAAGTATCTCGAAGATGATCAAATACCGCTAACATAACAATAGATGCGAGAAATGCTGATGGTGTTGTGGAGTACAACTCAGATACTGGATGCGTCAATAAATATTAAGAGTCGCACTAAGCATTCCAACGCGTTTACGCTCTACCAGGAGTTGTACAGAGACATTAAGTAAGCAAGAAAAGAATATTGACTACAGAGGGCCATGGAGAACTAGCCGTAGAGAGAAAAGGTAAGACAATTAGACAAAATTTCTGTAAGCAAATGGGACGTTAGATAACGCATAACTGACAAAGTAAAGTGAATCAAAATATTGAACATGCAGCTGTTACCCGACCCATTAAAACTGCTTTCTCCTAGGAAGATGAGTGTACGACTACTTCGATAAAATTGTTAGTTAGCAAGATAGAAGTTGCGGTTAAATGTGAAGAAGCAGCGAGTAAAGTAACTAAAGGAGTTACGCGTATGCTATTATTAAAGCTAGGTAAGTACGGGATAGTTAGTTATTTATGATTTATTATTTAGATACGGTCTGTTGCATTACCAGTGAATTGTCGATGCGTGTTCATCGAACAACAACATGAAGCACAGAACATTTCCATCATTTTTTCGCGGCGGCGAATTTACTTTGTATCACTCCTCAACGCAGCCATTTCCCTAAGAAGGACCTGCTGTCATAAATAAAACCGCCCAACTTGACACTCGCGCATACGGCATGTAGTCAAACGATAAAAAAGGCAAGCACGCGAAGCAAAAGGGGCACAATTTCTTTTACGCAACGGGGACCATGACGACGAGACTAGACCATAGCGTGGCACGATGGTCTTTGTGTCTCGTACACACCAGAATACCTTATTATTATGATCATTATTATTTTAAATACTATCAATAAGGACGTTACTGTTTGCGTCTGCAGAGACGTTCATGCCATCTTGGTCAATGGTTAGAGGCCATATGAGGTCAGCCCACTGGTCTTATAGCTTGAAAGTTGGAACGAACGTGGATTCTTAATTTATAAAACGGCCTCTGTATCACACTGCTGAAATCCGCCGCCTGGAGGTTAGTGGTGTAGTACGAAGGCATCGGTTAAGAGCTCTAGTCCTTCTCCTGGCTAGACCTGCGCAACTTGACGGTATCTTGCTACCGCAATGCAATAAATTCTATTAAAATTTCCTAATGATCTTACTATCGCAAAAATTAAGCAACTAAGCGCTCCAGCTGTTGCAGAAAGCTGGATGAATAAAGGTAAGCGCGCTATTACTCAAAGCCTGCCGTCTTCTCATTCCCTTTATCACAGTTTTATACCTTATCGTTTTGTTCCAACTTTTATTTTATCCCATCTCATCACACATCTTAAGTTCCTGGTCCCCCCTTTGCTTCTGTTATCCATAGCTTTCTAGTGCTGACTCACACGCAAGCGTATGATGACACTTCGATCCAGTCGACAGGACCTTGTCTGAATATTCGAATAACTGCTGTTCCTCCATTCATAATTAGAGCCTTTCATCTTTGCTAAGATAGTCATGCCTTAACGCACTTACTTTGTTTCAGATCGGTCCAAACACTGGAGACCCTGTTGACCAAAATATGCTGCTTATAGAAAACCTGCCTGCAAGATTCGAGTTCTGAGCTGAAGTTACTATCCACTGTAATTAAGACTACCAGTATTTTTACACTGCAACTATCCGTAGTTGATGCAGCTTGGAACACCGGTCTAACTGGTGTGGGCATTGCTTTGGGCCTCCAAGTTGAAGTTGCCCTGATTGATTGGATCACAAGCTGAGGGTGCCGTGCGCACTAAAATTGGCTGGTTTGTTCAATGCTTCAAGGTTGCACAAAGATAAGCATTGTTGTTTTGTCATCGCAGCACACACCCGCACAAGTTGCAACACTGACTCGGTGGAAGTTGGCTGCTATCATCAACCGAAATAGGAGCCTTCTTCATAAAAGAAGTATAGGTGTTAAAATTTTGGCCAGTGCTTTAAACGCTTGTTGGAAATCTTTTCACTAAAGAGTTGCATCTGGGCAGCCAACACGGTGCAGGCTCTTGTAATGATAACAATAAGCTTTTGCTGCACATGTGTGAAAATGCCTTTCTGTTTCTCGCAAAAATTAACTTTGGTGCAGCATCTGCAGAAGAGTGACATAGCGCCAAAAATCCATGGACGCACACCGGCTGCATTACGATCAGTTGGTGTTGTATTCAAACCTAACGCTCGACTTATGTCGCAAGCGTGGACCCTGGCCACGTAATTGGATGTGCCACTCTCCAACTTAGCTTATACAGGCGTCCTCGATAAAGCTCTGAGCGTACGGACTTAAGACAACTGGTTGTGTCAAGTACCCTGAATTCAAATAAAACTGGACCCAATTGACTATCACTGAGCGCAAATCAGCCAGACATACATAGCAGCAGACACATCACCATGTGACAAAATAACCTGTCAGCTAGGCCAATGAATTTACACCCCTTCTCCGGAAATCCAGTGTGGTCGCCGACATATTTCGACTGGAGGCGAACACAACCAGACTCGCAATCTCAGAGCAAAACTGTAGTGATAGTATGCAGGCGGATTACAGAGTACGGTGACCGCATTTCTGCATTTAGGTACAATGGAAACTTATTCCTTTTGTTACGGGATACAAGCATTAGGAGATCTGGTTTTCGCGAAACAATTTGCGACTCGGGAACAGCCTAACCCAATCTTGTCAAAACTCTTGGAGCGTTAATCCAAGCGCTTTGAAAATAAGTTAACAGCCATTGCACAGCTTATTTATCGATCAATAGTCACCAATCTCCGTTTGCTGTTTTCTCAAGTCCGTTCTCACGCAGAGAAGTCAAACATATGACCTGACCGTTAAAATGCAATAATGCTGCTGAAGCAGATAGGAATCTTTTAGCCCACAACAACTTCGGCGCACCAGCTTATGTGAATGCTTAGCATAACTTTATTAATTGTGAAAGCAAGTGCCTGTCCTTACAGAATGGAGTCGATTCGTTATCTTAATAATTTCCCAAATGTGCTTACGTTCGGGATACAACCATCGTAGAGGAATTAGTCTGATTTCAGTCACATTTTGATTAGTGCTCATATGGTTTTTAGTGACAAATTTCTATCAGTGAAGGCCAAATATGTAAAGAACAAGCTAGATTTAATCGAAATTAGAGCTGTATTGACCAAGCCTTTACATTAAGTCAGTTGTCGGAACTTGGCCATATTACTTGGCAACCCACTATAGAAGTGTTCTTCAACACCACAGGTGCCTTCGATTCAACGAATCGATGATAGCTTTGCAGTTGTCTGCTTAAAAATGTGCGTCTTATAAATACATAAATTTATCACAGTGCTTATTACAGGCTGTCACTCACATTTATTAACGTCAGCGGCGTGAGTCAGTCATACCACTTGTCAGCATTTCTACGTAATTTTGCGATTGAAGACGTTTTCAAACTTATATTTACCGAACAGGACGTTTAAGATATAATGCTTCTTCCAGCTTATCAGTATCTTGGCTAGAACTAAACTAACAATAACGCCCTTACCACTGACAGCTCCAAAACTTTACAAACAGCAATAAACAATTTAACACTGACTATCACTCAGCTCGGTACAGGCTCTGCCCCCAAGAAATATAAAGCCCTTCTATAAGAGTAGCAGTGACACACCCCTTCACTAACACTTAGTGGTTTCTCAGCTATAGATCGTTCAGAAATTCGGGTATCTTAGCAGCTATATAAGCGTGCTTTGGATCAAAGCTGGGACCACCAACCGGATAGCAACAGCTTGAGGCGCTTTTGATAATCACCACCACTTTTGGTTTCTGTGAGACATTGCCGTCACACCGCATTGCGAAATTTATAACAAATCAGTCAGTTTAAGCCTCCTGTACAGTTTTGCAATCTGGTGCATCAGATCGGTGGACTTATAGAGGCTAGTTACGTTTGATCGTCGCTGCTTTCACAGTTTAGCTCATAACTGGTGGGAACACCGCGTGTGCATTAGGCACGTTAGGTTTTGCCTGCAAATGACTGAAATAATTCACAGTCGTCACCGTCGTTCGGTACGATGAGCAGATCATTCTGAAGATCAGTTTAACTGGCCACCAGTACAACCGAGTCCATCTTTCGGGGTCAAAAGTACTCCCGATTGCGTAGGTGTTTCTCTACCGACTGAGGCTGAAGTTTCCTACGAGCTTAGCCTACTAAAGCACTACAAGTCATCTGTCTCCAATGAACTTCCTCCAGCCTGCTTCAAATATGGGGTTCTGCTCTCTTTTGTGAACTGACATCAATCTTCCACCAGCTTTGGACTACTGAAACCATCCCAACTGACTGGAATTCAGCGGATGTTGCACCAGTTTACAAAGAAGGAGACGGCGCCATTTGCTCCAACCATCGTGGCATCATTCTCCTTTGTGTTGCATCCAAACTGCTCACTGCCCTACTCTTGCCAACGCTCAGTCACGTACGGGAACAGCGCCTGCGTGGACAACAATCTGGATTTCGCCCGGGTTGCATTTGCGTTGATCACATTTTTACGATCCGTCAGACACTTGAGCATCACCATACGTTCAGTTGACCAACCATAGTCATATTCTTAGATATTCGAGCCGCATTTGACTCCGTTGACGGAGCGGCTCTTTGGGACTGCTTACTGAAGACGGGGTACCTGAGAAGTAAATCAGCATTCTCCGTGCCATTTACCATCAAACGTCGGGCCGCGTACGAGTACACAAATCCATTTCGTTCCCTTTCAGTATCACTAGTAGTGTTAGACTATTCTGGTTCCTCATCAGCATCATTAATGCACGTTAGCTGAGGATGACAAACATACCACATTTAGTGTGCCGCAATACAAAAAGAAAAGATACTAAAATATACACTACAATTTACACAAATTATACTACAAAATATGATGTTAAATATTATCTTTTGCGTTTTTCATGAGATTGGGATTGGTGGGGAGCCTAAAGGGAGGGGAATGAACAAAGTAACTCACAACACAAACGCCATTGGGGTCGGCTCTTCGCCACATCAGCAAGTGTGTCCAACCAAACGTGTTCATCGTCCTTAGGACCCCAGTCAGGCAGTTGGGTTGCACCAACAGACGCCAACTTCGAAATCAGGGTTTTCATTTCTCTCGATCAAGTCATCGCTTGGCCTCCTCTCCTCCTCTTCCAACCGCACCCCGGCGCGCAAACAATACACGTCGCGGAAGTCGATGTGTTAGCATGCGCAACATGTGGCCCAGCCATCGGAGCCTGGCGCGTGATATAATGGTGCTGGACAGTTCACTTGCTCTTCCTGCACCAAATAGGCCACGCTGAACAGGCTCATCGCTCACGCGGTGCTTTCATCAGACATGAGCTAAGCTGCCAAGGCAGCGATGATCGAACGTCACGAGCCAGTTTATGTCTGTCGACCTGATGGGCCATGTTTCACAGCCATATAGGAGAGATTAACAGACGGCTGCGTTATAAACTCTGCCCTTCTGGGCGAGAGTAATGTCGCGTCTGCGCCACAGGTGGCGGAGATTGGCAAAAGCACCTCAAGCTTTTGCTAGACGGTTCGTTACCTCATCTT